TCCCTCCAGGCCCCGCCTCCCACGCTATCCCCGCCCACTAACCCCCTCCGTGCCCAATCGGGCCTCCCCTCAGTAGCTCCCCCCCGCCCCGCCTCTTCTCCCAGTAGCCCCGCCCCCCGGCCGGGTAGCTCTGCCCCAGGTAGCCCCACCTTACCCCAACTCTCCTCCCAGGTAGCTCCGCCCCTGCCCCTCCTTCCCCGGCAGCCCCGCCCACTCACCGCTCTCCGAGTCCGAGTCCCGGTCCGGCTGCCCCGCGCTGCTTACGATGTTGGCCAAGTGCACGGCTGTCCAGGCGAAAGGCATGCGGTAGCGGCCCAGGCGGGTGCAGAACTGCTCGGCCGCCAGGCGCAGCTTCTCCAGCTTCTCTTTGTTCTGGGGGAATCCCCGTCCCCACCAGCTCAGCACCCCGACATCGCACCTCGCCCTCCAGCCGGGTGCACCTTCCCCGCGCACCTTGGCGCTGTCCACCTCCTTCATCACCATGTAGGGCTCACAGCACTCGCTGATGTCCCCTTGCTGAAGCACCTTCTCCAGCTGCGGGTAGGGGGCGCTGTGGCAGCCAGCGGCGCCTCCCAAGGGAGCGCTGGGCGGCCGTGCGCGCCCTCACCTCCCCACGAAGCCCTCCCGGATGTCCCCCTGCTCACCCCGCGCACCTTGGCGCTGTCCACCTCCTTCATCACCATGTAGGGCTCACAGCACTCGCTGATGTCCCCTTGCTGAAGCACCTTCTCCAGCTGCGGGTAGGGGGCGCTGTGGCAGCCAGCGGCGCCTCCCAAGGGAGCGCTGGGCGGCCGTGCGCGCCCTCACCTCCCCACGAAGCCCTCCCGGATGTCCCCCTGCTCAGCACGCTAGCTGGCTCAGGGCTTCCTGGTGGTCCTCTGGGGTCCCCCTGCTTGGTGACACGCCTGGCGTTCACCGTTATCAGCCCCCTGCCTGTCCCCAAGGGCACCTTGATGACCAGGAAGATGTCGGGCGAGGGGTAGGTCACGGAGAAGATGGCGGAGCGGGCCAGGGTGGAGATGGCGGTGTGGGTGCCGTGCGCCCGAAGCAGCCCTTTCATGGAGTCCGAGTTGAGGTCGAAGTAGAAATTCTCTGAAATCTGCCGACAGTGGGGCAGCAGCAGGTCACCGCCTCTAGGAAGCCCACAGCCGCCGCCACGCCCCCAGGGAAGCAGGGGACGGGGAGAGTGGGGCTCCTACCTTTTTTTTCTCCCGCACATCGTACAGGGCCAGGATTCCAAAGATGGGTTCGATTTCTATCTCGAACCTGCAGATAAATGAGGGGCTCTCCCTGACACCACAGCCGTCCATACCACTCTCCCCCAGGCCCGAGAAGTGCCTGTGGAAAGTCTCTGGGTGCCCGTGTGACACACAACCACCACTTTAAGGACTTGAAGGAAAGGTGCATCTCATTTGGCAGAAGGGGAAACTGAGGCGTGAGTTTTTGGTTTTGTTTTTTTTTTCTTTGAGACAGGGTCTCACTATGTAGTTGAGACTGATCTGGAACTCACTATGTAGCCCAGGCTGGTCTCGAACTCACAGCGATCCTCCTGCCTCAGCCTCCTGAGTGCTATGAGGTTTTTTAAAAAGCATTAAAGTTTTTCCCTGTCTCCTACCTCTCAAGGAAGAAACGCACCCCTGAGCTTAGATGTCTCCTCCCCAGGAACACTACCCTGCTCCCCCTGCTCCTCCGTCCCTCAATCTGGGCCCCAAGACCCTCTATGCATCTCTCCTCAAGGATCCATGTGGTCACAGTCTGGTTCTGTGTTCTATTTACCAGGTGCTTGTTGAATGACTAAAGGGGCTCACAGAACTGTTCTAAACACTCTGGCTTAAGGGTGGAAGGCCCATCCAGGCCTCAGGCAAGAATGGAACCTCCCTTTCCTGCCGAGATGCAGACAGGAACTGGGGTGGGGAGGAGCAGGACCAGGCCGGTTTCCAAGTCTACATCCTGTTTAGCTCTGTTCCCACGCGCCTCTGCCGCTCCCGGGGGGACCCGCGTGGAGGGGGCCTTGGGCAGCTGGGAGTCGGCATCATCAGCACTCCCTCTACCCTGCTCCCAGCAGGAGGACAGGCGAGTGCCCGGCTCCAGCTTCATCAGCCCTGTGACCCTGAGCACACGATACTGCCATGCGGTGCCTCAGTCTCCCCCCCCCCGCACCCACTTCACCAGGCTGCAGTGCAGATGAGTTACATAGGCGAAGGGCCGAGTACAGTGAGGCCCAATGGGCACTTAAGGCCTGGCAGCTTAAAATAACAAAGATGGGGCCTGACATCGGGCCACACGTTCCTGATCCCAGCACTCAGGGGGCCGAGGCAGGAGGATCTCCCTAAATTTGAGGCCAGCTGGACTACATCGTGAGTTCAAGACCAACCTGAACTATGTAGTAAGACCCTGCCTCAAAAACCCCAAAATAAATACATAAATGAAAGCCTGCCGTGACCTTGAGGGGTGCAGGGCCACACAAGTCATGGAATCACTCAAAGCGCCTACCTGCACCGGGACCCTGGGGGTCCCGTACTTACTTGAGTGACAGGCACTTCACCAGGATCCTCTGTCCGAAGTGTTCCCGGGGCGGCTCCGGGCGGCTGCAGCGTTCCACAGCCTCATCCTGCCAAGAGCCGTGGGACAGCAGGGACTGAAGGGCCTGGAGCACCAGGCCTGAGCGGGCTCCACACGGGCTGCCCGGCCTCAGCCTCCACACATGCGGTTCCCCCACCCCGAACACCCTTCCTGCCCCCACTCTTCCTCCTGCCAGCCAAGGCCTGCCCACTGTTCGGGGTCCAGCTTAGCTGTCACTTCCTACAGGAAGTCCTCCTTGACCCCAGGGACGCTGCCAGAGACCCCTGCTGCAATGGAACACACAGCGGGGCCATGGAGGGCAGCCTGAGGGGTGACCACCATTACCAGCCCCCAACGATGGGACGACTCTGTCCAGACTCCAATCTCCTATCGAAGGTGGAATCGCTCGTCTACTCTGAGGGTGGCCCCTAGGTCTCTCTTAGTCATGGTTGGGTCCCCAGTGTCAGTCACATAGGCAGAGGCAGGAGGATCTCCACGAGTCCAAGGCCAGCCTAGGCTACATAGTGAATTCCAGCTTGAACTGCACAACAAGATCCTATCTCAACCCTCACACCCCAAAAAAGGCAGGCTAGGCTAAGCAAAACGTCCAGTAGGGTAGGTGCATTAAATTCAGGGTTTATTTGAGAAAGGGTCTCACTATGCATTTCAGGTTGGTCTGGAACTCAGCATGGAGCCCAGGCTGACCCTGAAATTATGGCGATCCTCCTGCCTCAGCCTCCTGAGTGCTGGGATTATAGGTGTGTGCCACCATGCCCAGCTAAATGTACTTTG